ATCCACAATCAAGACACCCCAAGAGAAACATGTTGTTAATGTGGTTTAACTGAGTGATGTACATGGATAAAGCATTCTGATAAGGCATTGTGAATGTGAGTCTAAGACCCTTCTCTCCCATGTAGCTACAGGACAGAGAGTCATGTGTTACCCTCCTGGTGGGAGCCAAATATGGAATCAGCCAAGTGGTCAATAACAAACTCAACATCATAACCATGCTGGCAGAATTTGCTAACATCAGCAGACTGGAACTTACTGAAGAATCTGAAAAAGTAAGCATGGTAAAAATCTACCTCCAAGATATAAAGGTAACTATAACTTTGTCCCTTCTTTCAGTGGATGGATATGGGATGAATGTTGTGCCATTCTCCAAAGTGCACAGTCTGTTATAACTGAAAAGAGGATGTAAGAAGCCATCTTATACCATGTGAGACTAGTGTTCCAGGGAACCTGGTAATATTAACCCTTAGAATCATAATGTCAGTTCTCTGTGCCTAGTTGCTAGCTTCTAAAATGGGAATTGTGCAGCTCTCCAGATGTTGTTGGCTTGCAACTCATATCAGCCTTAACCAGCATAGCCAGTGGTAAGGAATGCTAGATGCAACATCTGGAGGGCCTCACAGTTCACCCTCATTTTAAATCTTATCCCATCTCCATCACAAAAGTCATTTTCTGTTTTGAACAATTATAGATTAACTGATGTCCTTTAGCTTCCTTGTTGTGTTATTGTTGTGTGCATTCAAGTGATTTCCAACTTATAGTGACTTTAAGGAAGACCTATCACGAGGTTTTCTGGGGCTGAGAGTGTGTGACTCATCCAAGGTCACCTAGTAGGTTTCCATGGCTGAGCAGGGAATTCCAGAGTTGTAGTCTAATGCTCAAACCACTACACCACACTGGCTCTTTAGCTTCTTTAGGTACCTTTATGTTCCTTACATTTCTGGCTGTCTTATGTATATTTATAGACAGATTGTACAGGGTGATGAAATGATTATGATTTCTTAACCCACCTCTCCCTATAAATCAACAATGGGTTAGACACACAATACTATTTAAAAGAACATATAAAATCAATACCTATTTAAACTGCTAATACATACTATAAAACCATTGATTTACAAATCATCTGGGTAAGTCTGCCAGAATAGACTGATCTTTACCGCTGGTTTACACTCAGAAAGTGTGTCCAACTGATGAACCTCTCTGGCAGGTCATCCCACAATATGGGAGTAGCTGAAGAAAATGTCCTCTGGGTAACAGTTGTCAACCTAGTTTTGACTGACTGAAATAAATATCCTTCAGAGGAGGAATAGAACAAGAGTTTGACTGATAATACCTCAGACCTTAAAATTTGTTTTATACTAAGCGCCACGTAAAATGGACCAGAAGGAGCAATATTCCTCTCAATACCAAAAGTTTGCAAATTGGTCCTGAACTTGCATGAAGATATTCAAGATATAAAATCTAGGCCAGTATCAGGTTTGGTCAAAATCAGTTAACAAGTCTGCATTCCAGAGCAGGTGATTATGGTGACATAGAAATCAGAAGTGTTTGTTCATATAATACCTGAAGTTGATGGACTTGGTCTTTGTTTTGATCCCAATAAATAGCCTGTTAGTTTTGTCAACAACACTGGTTTCCTCAAATCTCACTGCCCCGATGATTATGGTTCTTGCAAATCCTCGTTGTTGCCACGTCCTGTTGACTTTTCCTGTGCTAAGGAAATGGCATGATGAATCAAGGCACTCTAGGACTGTCGATTGCATTGGAACATGTCACACAAGGAGGCGCACAAGGCTCACAAACTACAAAGCCTGGAGTTACTTCTGAGTTGGGAGGAAGTCCTGATCTGGGGACCTAATCTTGGTCCATGGAGGTTCAAAACCTAATCCACAGAGATTCCCTCCCAGTGTGGAGAAGAAGAGCAAAGCTATCTGCTTTTCTTCAATATTTGCAGGTGCTGACTGAGCTGTGTGTGGAAAAGGGGAGAGGTAGAAGCAAGCTGGTTCTTGGCCAAAGCATCACAAAATGCTTTAGTCAGGGCCCCAGTGTGGTCAAGCCATTCCACACCACTGCCTCCTCCCCCAAATATTGTCCCCCAGCCTTGTTCTATAGATGTTGCCTCTGGACCTGAGCCAGCAGCTCACTCTTCTGATTGTCTGCAGCCATTTCAAAGGATCTTACAAGTTCAAGATAATCCACACGAACACACAGGAATCAGAGAGCATAAACATTGCCAAGCTCCAGGGGCGAGAATCCTCCTGGTGACTTACACTAATGTAACCAAGGGTTATGACAGCATGCATATTTTTCTTGGATATTGCAGAAAGAGATATCGAGTCCCTTTTTGTGCACCAGTTTTTCCTGGCTGAGAAATGGCAACCACAAGGCACCATATTTGGCTCTGACCCTGACTCTGTTAGCTATGGATTGTCCGCAGGGAAGCACTGTGGTACACCAGAAAACTCCCTCGCACCATTGCCAGACTGACAATGTCACCCCACTGGTCCTCCATGGGTCTTGCCAATGTGTGAAGAACGTGACACTCTTCCAAGTGCACATAGTCCAAGTCCAAGTCTCAGCACTGTTGTTTGGACCCATATTTCTGCCGTTGGGAATGGCCTTCCAGCAAGGGTGACCAGATGTCATAACTGCAAAGGAGGACAAGGCACCACAAAATGTAGAACATTCAAGGAAAATGTAGAACTTTACAAAATGAAAGCTAAAATCACTATAAATATAAATTCATGGAGTTTATCACATGGGTGGAATCCCGTGTAAAAATAGGATTTAAATTGAAAAAAATCTGCAAAAGCGGGTTGTTTTTCAGATAACATCTGAGATTAATCTACACAGAAAGTGGGGAAAATCCGCAAAAGCGGGTTGATTTTCAGATGACGTTGGGATTAATGAGCAATAACATGACATTAACCCAGAGAAAAGGGCAACAAAACACGCTTCTTTTTATTTTCGGGATTTTCCGAAAGTAAAAAGAAGTGCTTTTTGTCACCCTTCTGTCCTGGTTAATGCCATGTTATTGCTCATTGTCTGAAAATCAACCCGCTTTTGCGGGTTTTTTCCAGGGTTCTAAATCCTGTTTCTGCCTGGGATTTGGAGACTTTGCCTCTATGTGATAAACTCCATAATCATGCTTGAAATGGAGGACATTTTGAAATTGGAGAGAAGGTTGAAATGTAGAACATCTCCTTTCACCTGTTTGTAGCTCGAGCCAGAGTTCTCCAGACCTAAATAAAAATAGCCCTTTTCCTCCATGCTTGAAAGGCATACCTCCAATATTTCACAGATGAAAACTGGGACACATGTGGCCAAGTGCCATTAGAGCATGGTCAAGTTGGCAGGCATTATTAATGAGGAAGAACAGACAAACGAAGAGAGGCTGCAGCAGTTAGCTTTTGTCTGAGCCTAATATAGAGGAAAGAAACGATTACATCCCTTTCTTTCATCTCTTCTTTGCTGGGTTAACTGAGTGCAGACTACTTTTACATTTTGAACTCAGTTTGCAGCAATCGAATTGAGCCGAAGACAAAAGAGGGAAATGGGGGGAACTGGGACATTTAAAAGTAACTGAAAAATGGAACAACAGAAAATTAATCTGGACTGTTGTTGTAAATTGGGATAATTGGAGGATAGAGAGAGGAAAGAAGAGCCAGGCTGCATCCGCACTGGATAAATAATCCAGTTTGACACCATTTTAACTGCCATCTATGGAGTTCTGGAGACTGTAGTTTGTTGTGGAAACTACAGTCCCCAGAATTCCACAGCAATGAGCCATGGCAGTTAAAATGGTGTCCAACCGGATTATTTCTGCAGTGCGGATGCAGCCTCAAGTCAAAGGCTACTGATCTTACCAGCAGCTTAACCTCCTTCAAGCTCCGATGATGCTGGGCCAAACCAGAGAGGATTTTCAGTACATCTTCCCAGTTAAGATGCTGGTTTAAATGAAAATAAATCAGCTGGCAGGGTTGCCAATGGACGGGGTTACAGTCAGTAGGGAGGATGATTTAACCCTTTTTTCTCCTGCTTCAGGTGAGGAGGGGAAGTGTCTGAATTTTGAGTTTTCTTTCCAGTGCAAATGCCAGTTTCTGTCATGTTTCATAATATTATAATAATAATAATAATAATAATAATAATAATAATAATAATAATAATAATAATAATAATAATAATAATAATTTATTTTTATCCCACTCAAGGTGCTGACTCTGATGTTAGAATCCAACAGTGCCAAAGATCTGGCTTGTCTCATCAGTGGCTACTACAGGATGTTTGTCGATTCAAGCCGTTCCCTATTTGTCTGGGGGGAGAAAAAGCCCCAAACACACCGCTTCTCAGCTGAGGAAGGTGAAAACCAAGATGCTCTAAACAAGTAATGGACCGGGAGGAACCTTACTGGCTAAGTGAATGCTCAGGAGTCCTGTGCCCATGGCTACAAGTATATGCCAGGGAGAGCGCTTATACCACCGTAGAACCCTCAAGTGTGGTGCTTCTTCTTTTTCCCATAGAAATGAGTGGCAGCCATTCATATGTATGTGAAAGAGTAAAAGGTTTACTCAGCGGCTCACTGTGAGATTATTTCTCACTCTCATGCACATATACACAAACATATTGTGCCCTACGATGTCCACCTTCCAGGGACATCTCCTTTCCCCCCCTCCAGCACTCAAGGTCTGATCACTTATTGTTAGGCACCTCAAATGCCCAGAAGATAGCAGTGGTAGTCTTCCAGGTGAGCCCCTGGAAGGACTATGTGCCAAATAGCTTGTCCATTATCCCCCTAAACTAGCCTGCTACCCTCAGATGTAGCAGAGGGCTCTGCCCCTTTTTTTGTTGTGTGCCATCAAGTCGTTTTCGATCTGTAGCAACCCTAAGGCGAACCTATCACAGTTTTTTCTTGACAAGTATTTCAGAGGGGGTTTGCCATTGCCATCCTCTGAGGCTGAGAGAGTGTGACTTGCCCGAGGCCACCCAGTGAGTTTACATGGTTGAACCAGGATTTGAACCCTGGTCTCCAGAGTCATAGTCCAGTGGTCAAACCACTGTCCCACGCTGGCTCACAAGCCTGTTCGTTATCCCCCTAAACTAGCCAGCTGCCCTCAGATGTAGTGGAGGGCTCTGCCTCCTTACCAGTGTTCATAAATGGTTCACTTGCTCCTCCAGTTGACATCTGGTATGTATGGGAGGAATGCCATCTTGGAAAGGAAGGCAAAGGATGGGAGGGATGCCATCCTGTCCTTTGCCCCAGGAAGCAAAATCTCTTGAGTCAATTTCACTCATTGCTGTCTGTCCACTTTCTTGTAGAAATCACTGGGATGAGCGATTTGTTTGCTGCAGTCTTGATAGCCCCAAGTCAGACTGTCAGCAGGGGATTGCACTCTCCAAACAACCCTGTTTGTGTCTGTTTGACTTGCAGGATATGAATCTAGAACCTGCAGCGACTCTGAAGACTCTTCGGAACCAGATTCTTCCTTGGACCGGTTTTCAGACACACATTCACCCAGGCTCAGTAGTCTTGGGCCCCAGCCAGCAGAAGATGGAGAGCCAAAGGAGCTGAAGCAAGAAATGACAACTCTGGGGGACAAAGGGCCAGGCTATTGCAATGGGCATGACAACACAAATGACAGCTTGTCAGAAGCCTCTGACTCGGTCAACTCAGAGAGTCAGGGGCTTAAAACCAGTGGTTCAAGTGACTCTATGGAGGCCCTGGAGGAGGATGATCTAGAAACATGCTCATCAAGCCGGCCAGAGTTTTTAAATTTTTATACCCCAACTCTTCAAGAGTTGACAGGCAATAACAAGGTCTTATTGGAGAAAGACCCAGAAGAGGGCCACAGAGTGGCACAGGATTATTTCTTTTCCTTCCTCCTGCCACCCAACCTTTCCAATCCTGTGCCTGTGCAGCCAGAGGCAGAATTCAGAAGAGAATATGAAATAAATGGTTCAGCTCTGGCATCCAAGCTAGCTGACAACAACATCATGGAGTATTACAGCCTTTGTGCTAACATCTCCCCAGCCAGCAGTGGAGAGAAGAATACCCAGAGTAATAGTCCAGAGGGCAGCTCTTTAAATGAGACAGAGGAAGATGAAGGAATCCATGAAGGTGAGACACAAGGCTTCATCCTGGATCCTCCTCCTGGCTTTGGAGATGCTGGTTCAGATGATGAGTTTTATGATGCCCCAGAAAGGATAACGCCAATAGAGAAGCTAGCAGGTGAGCCAAAAGGAAATCCTTAGCAGTCAAGTTGAAAGGATGCCTCTTGAGAATGGTCTAAACCTGAGTGGCCATTTTGGCCATGTGTGCAGCTGTTTATGAGTCTCAGCAGAACCACAGCTGAGACTCCATAAACTGTGGTTTTGAAATTCAGATCATTTTTTCAAGCAAGTCTGAGAGTTTTCAAATACAGGAAATCTTACCTCTCAGCAAGACTTGGTCATTAGGAGGAGAAAGGATGCAGTCATATAGCGGTTTAGGCCGATTCCAAGGCTTTTCTTGTAACACTTCATCTCAGCAAGTTCCTCAGACCACCCTTGCTTCTCTAAAGAGGAGATTCTCTGATACTGGGCTTGCTTCATGCTCAAATGCCTTGTTGCAGTAATATTTACACAGGCTGAGTCTTGTATCCAAAATGCTTGAGATCACAAGTGTTCTCGATTTTTCACTTGTTTTGGATTTTGGAATATTAGCATATACATAATGAGATAACTTGGAGATGGGACCCAAATCTAAACACAAAATTAATTTATGTTTTGTATATACCTTATTCACATAGCCTGAAGGCAATTTTATATAATATTTTTAACATGAAATGAAGATTTTGTGCATTGAAACATTGGTAAGCAAAGGTGTCACTATCTCAGCCATCCATTAAAAAAAAAGGTTTTTGGAGAATTACAGATTTCAGAATTATGGATAAGGGAGACTCAATGTGTAATATTAATTTTTAAGGTTGGGGTGAGGCTTCTAAAGTTGAGATTTAGTGGCTACCCAAATTAGAGCAAAGATTCCAGAGGGAGGATTTTCCTTTCCTTTTAACTGTTGGCCCTCAAATGTTTCCTCTGATCTTCAGCTTTATGCTAGCAGCTTCTTCAAATGAAAAGAGCATTAATTTTCAGAAATCAATTGAGGTTGTACCTATCAAGTGATGAAACAAGTTAATTCCACTTTCACTTTGCATTTATGAGTGATATTCTGCTTGTTTCATGAATTAGCCTGTAGAAGCAGGAGGGTGGGATGGAAGGGAGCAGGAATTATGCATCCTGTAAATATTATTGGACTGCAATTCCCAGCAGCTCTAAAAAGCTTGGGCATAAGTCCTTGCTACCCCATCTGGAGCTGATCCATTGAATCAAAGGCTGAATAGTAAGTCAACATGTATAGAAATCACATTGGTCCAATGAAGATACTGTATTTGGGACTAGCGATTGGACTTAGACCTTTTAAAAAATTAAAAACTCACATGTAATAGTAATATGCTCTAATTCAGACCTGCACAACTTGGCAGTAGATAGGGGCCAAAATTAAAATAGGCTAAACTTCTTTGGGCCATAGATAGATATTAATTAATTAATCTCCTCCTCCTCCTCCTCCTTAGGAGAAAAGTGACCAGCAAAGGAGGCTTGCCTGTCCTTCTCCTCCACCGCCCAGACTTCTTGGGAGAAGGCCAGGCAAAGGAGGAACCTTGCAGGGTGAGCGTTTGCCCATCCTCTTCCTTCTCCTCCACCCATCCTTCTCCTTGGGAGAAAGCCAAGCAGTGGAGGTGCCTTGCAGGGTGAGTGTTCGCCTGTCCCCCTTGTCCACCCGTCCTCCTTCGGAGAAGCCAGGTGGTGCAGGAACTTTGCAGGGCAAGTATTTGCTGTTCATCTTCCTCCTCTACATGGCACTCTCTTCAGGAGGAGAATGGTAGAGGAGCATCCTCGTGGGCCACCCAAAATCCTTTGGCCCCCAGGCTGTATGTTGTGCAGGCTTGCTCTAATTGTTTGGGAGGAATTGAGCAATGATTCTAAGGAGCAGGCCATTTATCCACTAGGGGTAAATACTATTTCTTCACCTTGATCTCCTCTTCTTTATTTGAAGGTTGTGGAGACCTAACCCAACAAAGTATCCAAGATCTGAGCTCCTCAAAGACGCTATACTGTGACAGCTCAGGTGAAAACCTGTCAAGACAAAGCAGAAGGACAAAGTATAGACATGAAAAGGAGCCCCAGCATACCAACCACTTGAGGAAGAGGAGGTCTTTCCTGCAGACTAATTTTACCTCACACGTCACTTTCCCTCTAGTGCCACCTCACTCCCATGAGAACATTGATTGTACTTGCTATGATGGAGAATCTCTCCTTCCAGGTAGATCATGCTCCCCAGATGCAGTCTCCTTACAGGAGCCTAAATGTGATTCTGATCTTTTTGAAACCCAACCATTAGTCCAGTTGGCTGGAAATACAACAGCTTCATCATCTGATGTCATGGACAAGGAGCCAGGTTCATTAGACATGAAATCAGCAACTGACTCAGGTATGCATCCTTTTTCTGCCATTCATCTCCAGGAAGGCAGAGAATGTTCAGATTCTCTCCTTAGCCCTTTCTTCACAGAGAACAGTTCTTTAACCTCTTCGTACACTCCTGGGCACCAAAGTCAATGTCTGAGTAGGTCAGAAATCCCTGTTCACCTAGAAGACCATAACACCTCTTGCAAACAAAAAACAGATCTTATAGACACAGCTGGTAGACTTCAGGAACATGGTGTAGCAAGTACAGAGCACCATGCTGTAAATGAAAGCTTTGGGACAGAAAAAGCCCTGCCTGAAACCGGAGTCAGTTATGTATTGATTGAGGAAATAATACACACAACTACCAAACCTCCCCGGTCCCTTAACAGTCTCCAAGGCAAGCAGTCTTCAGACCAGAATTTTCTTTCTGCTGAGAAAGTAGAAAAGCGGGAAGAACTTGTGCTAGATCCCTGCAAAATGAAATCTACCTTGTGTGAGTCAAGGCAGAAGTGTGGAGGTTCGCCACTCCATAACAATACCAGCAGGATGCCAAGTGAAGGCTTCTTGTCTGAAGATGGCAAACAGTTGGATTTCTCAAATGCAACTGAGCTGTTTTCTAACAATGATGGTGGTTCAGGAGCAGTGACACGCCTCTCCTGGCTTGCTTTTAGTTCAATGGTCAATCATGCAGAAAGATGCCAGCAGATAGATGACAAACACCAGAATAGTATTGACCAAAGTGCCCCAGGGGTAAATCAAGTCTCTTTAAAAAGTTATGAACTAACTCAAGTGCCACACTATTTATCATTGGTGACTAGTCCTTGGAATAGGTGTCTGTATACAGAATTTATTAGTGACCAGAAGCTGGAGAAGAAAGACCTCACAGGTGATGCCCTCAATGTGGATTATAAATATAAATTGCCTAGTTCACTAACTGTTCCCAGAGAAGAAAATATGGAGCAGAGAAAAACTGACAGTTCAGATGGGCTAGGCTACTTTTCACTTGACATTCTGTGTAAATCTACAGGGACCAGTGAGGAAAGCAGCATTTCAAATCAATCATTTCTGTGTTCTAATAACCTAGCAAAAGATGCTATGGCATCTAACAATTTGGGCTCTCCAGCTCTAATGAACGACAAGGAATTAATCACACCCAGACCTAAAATGGACAGATGTAGTTGCCAGTTGACTTATGCAAGTTGTTTCCGTGGGCTAGACAATGAGACAGAACTAGAGTACGCCAAACCTGCTCCCCGTGGTGCTTCTGATGAGCCATTAACAACCCCACCATCAACAAGGAACCTATTGTCTCTAGACTTTAATGCTACAAGACTCAATCAAAAATATAACTACATCAATGGAAACTCCAAAGAGTGTAAAAATAGCACATGGGTTCCAGACTCCCATATCAAAGCATTGAGCTGTATGAAGGAGCGAATGCACGCCACACCATTTGACTTTGGACATTTGTTAGATAACGTGGTGGAGCTGCAGGAAATTCTAAGGCAGTTTTGGGGAAACAGAACAAAACATCCTCGGGATAAATGCTCATCTCACTTTTCAGAAAACAAAAATATCTTGTATGTGGAATCACAAAGGCTGATGTCTAGTTGCCAGAAAGTTATCAAAACACACAGGCCTTCCACAGAGGCACACAATGCTGTTCAGGAGACCTTTCAGAACCTTCTCCAGCTGGCAGAAGTGTGCTTTCAATTCACAAACTGTGGCCTTTGCAATAAGAAGCACAAAGAACTCACAGTCAACCTGAAGGATGTTGTATGTAGCTATCACCAGTTTGTACAGGCAGCAAAGCAAGCCTGTGAGAGGGACTCTCCCAATCTGAGCATGAAACTCCTTGTATGCCAGTACACTGCCCTCACTGCAGCCCTCTTCTGCCTTGTGCAACAGTTCAGAGCATTGTCCAGTGTATGAGATGGAGGGCTCTTGTCCAGACACTTCTCCAACATGCTGCTATTCTATCATTTTGGTGGGGAAGAGCAAGCCAAGTTGTTTATTGTTAAACCCATGCTTTCTATAAACATAGCATATGTATAATAGCTATGCAGAAGCATATGATTCAATGCTTTGTGCTCATTTTCTAATGGATATTAATTTTCAGTGCTTAAATGAGGTGAAGTTAGCACGGTAAGTTGCAGAAACATGGAAGCTGCCTTACGAGACTATCATTCAAGTAACAGTTTTGCCGAGTCTGGAGTTCAGGTTTGATTCTTTCATAGCTCTGGTGGCCTTCCATCCAAATATTAGCCAGGCCCAACTGCTTAGCTTCTGAAATCTGACGAGTTGTAGTATGCTCACATTGAATTATATTTTGGTGCATGCCCAACATCTTTGCTCCTATGCCATAGGTAAGGAGCACAAGAGATTAATCTCTTTTGCATGACTCAGGGTCCCTTTCAGTGTGAACAGCTGCAATTGCTGTATGCAGTAGCAAATGTCAATTTGCCACTAACCATAAATGCTTTCTCAGCCTAAAATGATGGAATGCTGTGTTGAAGATGTCCTCATGCTTGTTAAAAATAATTAAGGTTAAAGAAAACACACCACAGGCTGTTGCCTTTTGTGTTGGAGTCTGGCTTCTGATCCCTAAGTAATGTTAACTGGCAGTCTCGAAAGAGATCATGCCTGACCATAGTGACTCTAATATAGGGGATTAAGTGTGCTTTTAACCTAGTAGCTCTCCAAGCTATCTGCCCTCCATATGAGTCTTGTTAGGGCCAAGACTTACAGGTGCTGTGCAGGTCTCAGGACTCACAGGATGATTTCAAGCTTCATGAGTCCATCTTTCAGTGCCACAATGGAGAGCAGAGAAAGCTAAATTCTGGGCATGATTTCCCATTAGCTTTAAGTACTTCCTTTGGAAATGTATTCTGTTAGCAACAATTGTTCCGAAACCAACATGTAAGCAGTGTGCTCAGTGGCCTGCCTCTTTTACTCCCTTTCCACAAGCTGTGGAAGCCTTTAAAGGCCTGACCCACAAAGGATCCTGTTGGTTTATCTAGTGGTGGGCCTCATGTGAATGTAATCTTAGCAGATTCTTTATCTAATTTATGCATCTCCTATGGATTAAGCTTCTGTCTGTCAAAGTCTGTGCCACAATAAATCAGTTAGTTTTGCCACACAAGTGTAATTGTCTTAATTTTAATCTATAAGCCCTGACCAGAAAGTTGATTTTGAACAAATGATGGCCCCCACTCATTCCCCCCGAAATGAACAGATAGATGAAATTTGATACGTAAATAGATTAGGATCAAACATGAAAGAACAGGGACCTCCAAAATTTATACTACTTGTAAACAGATGGCACACATCAGATACTATCCATGTGTCTACCAAGATGGAAACTATGTTTGGTGCAGTGGAGCATACTTGCAGGTAAAGGTGTAAGCATAGCTCTTGGGTGAAACGCTCATTAAGATGACATGTCGCAGTGCTGAACCCTTTTATATCTAAAAAGTAATATCTTGCAATGCAAAATTTCCTTTTCAACAGCAGCTAGTCCCCCAGCACAGAACAAGCTAAACATGTGATAAAATGTAGGGATTACATGAATTTTCCTTCATACAATGGCTGGAATTCTCTATGGCAATTACAAATGCATAACCTAGAATTGTAGATGTGTGATGGTTATGTAGTCGCAATCCATAGATAACCCCTACTTTAGGGGCAATGTAGGAACAAGGAAGGTCCTCAACCTCTACTTACCAGAAAGCAGTCACTGCGATCAATGAGAGTTCGTTCCCCTGTCAACTGGGAAGCATCTGTCTGACATTCTCACCCACCTGTGACTGTCACACCAGAGATCTATTTACCCAGAGTCTGGTTCCACAGACTTCACAAAATGTCTCTATTCTTGCACATCATGAAGGCTGCCTCTCACATGCTAAAAGCCAACTCATTTCTCCTATACAGATTCTCTGATGTGTTATGAAATAATACCTGAATAAATATTTTCCCATGGGCTCAGCATCAAAATTTTCTTATTTTGTTAATGGCTGGGCAAGAAAGCTACAACAAAACACAACTTCTTTCACAAAACAAACATAGCTGTAGAAGGAGAGGGCATCTAGTTAGCTTCCTTGCCCCAATGGAAAGCTACTCAGCTAGTTATGGGATGACATTTACTAAATAAATCTAATACTTCTCAACTAAAATATCTTTATTTCTCCATCTCAAAAAAAAGTTCCACTTTTCCAGGGCACAGAATACCCTGCCAGTGATGACTTATGGCCTTATTAACAAGGAATTAAGACATATTTTTTTTAAAAAATTAAATGTATTTTAAAAAATGAAAACATATTTAACCTCTTCGTCTAATAAGAAGAACAAGAAATTGAATTAGTCCCAGTCTTTTCCAAGCAGATGTGAGAGTGGTTCAGTAACCACGGATTATTGAAAACAGCTTTCATCACCACTTTCTCCATATTTTCCTGCAACCTCCTTCTGTCAGAGAGTTGCATCTCGAAGGACATAGCCTTTTCCAAGAGAAACTGCTGCTTTGAGGGCTTCTTCCCAGCTCTTAGTCACATAGAAAGTTGACAAGGCATCAAATACTAAAAGACAAATATTTTCATTATTACAGAGGTTAACCAGAATTGAAGAACAGGATAAAATTGTAGCATAGTCATTTTTATTCAGAAGTACCAGAAGCTACTGTCCCACTGTATTCATAGAATCCTTGTTTCTATCAGAATATCGAAACTGAATAAAGACTTGTTATTTCTAGCCAATGTTTCTTAAAAAGAGCAAATTGCTTCTAGAGCCCTTTCATATTTTAGACCAGGATTTGGAGACATGTGGCTCTCCAGATGTTGTTGGAATGCAGTTTCCATCAACTCTAGCCAACACAGTCAATATTAGGGGCTGATGAGAATTTCAGTCCAATATCAATTATACAAGTAGCTTCTGTTTCCAATTGGGAAAGCTTTCTGTATTGATTTCACATATCTCACTTCATGTCCTATATCTGTAGAATTGCCTGTTATATAAATACTAAAGAAGAGCAATCTGCTAAGCAAAACAAAGCTGGCAGCTTGCCAAGCTTGCCCTCTGGTACAAGGCTCTGGATCCAAGAAATTGATACGTAAAAACCATCTGCACAGAATCATAATAATGTCTTAATTGTAAGAATTCTCAAATGGCATCAGCCTTGTGGGGGTGGGCAAATCAAGGTAAATTTTAGTACCTTTAAGATGATTACATACTGATCTTGGTATTAAAAGAATTAATGGTAGCTGAAATTGCTTAACGTTGGCTGAATTATACCCAATTCTCAGCAAGTTACTCTTTATCAGAACTGCAATGCTTTTTCATTATCCCCATCATTACAACCAACATGCTAAATAAACAGCAACTTTGTACTCTTTCACAGAACTATAGATTCCACATTACAGAACTATGGATTCCACATTAACTGCTGTGGCTGCATCCTAAGGAATGCTAGGGTTTTGTAGTTTATTGAGGCACAAGAGAAACTCTCTGGCTGAGAATTCTAAGTACAGCCAATCCCAGGATTCCACAGAATGTTTCCATGGCAATTAAAATGGAACCATAATGTGCAGTTGGTTGATTGTGGGTTGCACTGGAATAATGATGGTGGGACATCACATACAGCATGCACTCCAATGAGTTTTCTACCAAACATTGCAACAGCCTTACCTTGGTTGATAGCTAATGTTGTAGAATAGTAGTTTTTTGCATTGATGTTCTTTACCATGTATTCTTGAATTGGCAGTCGTGCTGTCTGCAGATGTTCTTCTTGAGCTTTGTGCAAAGTAAGTCTCTAGAAGTGCAAATTAGAAACAAAGAAAAATAGATACAAATGTTCATTCAGTTCCTATAGGATCTGATGAATGAATTTCTACACAGTTTAAAGCCTCCTGGTGACCACAGCAGCTGTGAGAATCAATACAATATAGTTGCCCCACTGCCAGCTCTTCCTCAAGCACTGCCACCCAGTCACAGCTATATTATTATTATTATTATTATTATTATTATTATTATTATTATTATTATTAGCATGTGTGAGAGGCAGCATGGTGTAGTGGTTTGAGCACTGGACTGTAATGCCAGGTGACCAGGGTTCCAATCCCAGCTCAGCTATGGAAACCCTTGGAAAGCTCAGAAAAACCTTGGGCAAGTCACATTCTCTCAGTCTCAGAGGATAGCAATGGCAAACCCCCTCTAGAGAAACTTGCAAAGAAAACCCCATGATAGGGTCACCTTAGGGCTGCCACAAGTTGGAAACAACTTGAAAGTGCACAACAACAAATAAAAACTATTGCACTTATAGCCCACCTTTCTCCCAAAATGGGATCCAAGGCAGGTTACAATAATTGCAAAAAGATCCAACTAAAATATTAATTTACACAAGTTAAGAAGGAATTAGGCGTCACCATTATTAAAAACCTGATTAGAACATCTAAAACATTATGAACACTCAAAGCACTTATTTGGCCACACTAGCAGGATCTGGCTTCTTGCAGCAGCAATGGCAACAAGGATTTGACAGTTACTCCTAAAGACTGCTCAGCTCCTAATGGATATTATTTCACCTACTGGTAATCAGATGCAAAGAAGATGGACCTAACAGAAGAAAGCCTATCCTCAATTATACTAGAACTCCATTTAGGCCAACATCCTGTCCACAAAGGTGATCAATTTGATGTAATAGTTGGTTTTCTTGGGCCTGTACACAGTCTATGGTACCCAGATCATCCAAACAATAAAGATTCCATTTGATTGTGTGGATAAGGTAAGGACTTTAACCATGGTACAGAAAGGAGTATGTTGGCAGAGGCAGCTTATTCAAAGGCCAAAAAGGCACCATGTGCTACACTCCACTCTTCTAAACAGCTATTAAAAGGTAAATCAGATTTATCCTAATATATATGGGCAAATTCTCTAATGAATATCCTAATATACATTGACAGATTCTCTAATGACAGCCAGAGTCGTACATGGTTTGGACTAGAATTCCCAGAAACCAGGGTTTGAATCTCTGCTTGGCCATGGAAACCTACTGGGTGACCTTGGGAAAGTCACATTCTTTCATCCTCAAAGGAAGGCAATGGCAAGCTCACTCTGAACAAATTTTGCCAAGATAACCCTGTGATTGGTTAAGTTTAGGATGTCTTTAAGTCAGAAATAATTTGAAGGCACACAGCAACACCAAAAATCCTTTAATACTATCTGCAGAAAAAGGAATCTGAATATAGTGCTGTGTAAGAGTAAGAAAAGCTGCCCCTGATGGTTTTTTCTTCTGAATGGCTATTGAAGACACCAGAGTGACCTTACTTAAAAGCATTGTTTCTACCTTTTTTCTGAAACTTCCAACACTTGAAGCATTGATATCAACTACAGGCTGACTTATATTTAATAATAATAA